GCAACTAGTGTTACAATCCATGATTAAAGATTAAGCTCTATTTATTATATACGATACCATCAGCACAGTCATAAGTAACACTCTTTTACTACTTATATACTTATTCTATTATTATTACACACAGACGCACGCACGCACGCACGCACGCACGCACGGACAATCATGCGATTCTACAAGCTGCATCTGACTTCGTCAGATGAGCTAAAAACTAACCAATGGGACAGAACTCGATGAAACTATAAACGATTGCTAAAGGTCAGAGGTTACAGAAGCTGTAGCTGCATCGGCCAGACATGAATTCGTCCTATCACACACACATACCTTTGTCTCCCACTTCTTTCCCGTCTCTCGTCGCTCCTTTGCTTCCTCTCTCTGCCTCTGCTCCAGCTGAAACTTGCCCTCTGTGGCCTTGTCCACATCCTTGATAGTGAGGGCTGCTGTCACATCCTTCCATAGCCTGCACACGTTCATGATTACATTACCAATAAAATCAACGACATGGTTGCTGGCACCATACCACCAGGCAAACGAACTTACTTGTCCATCGTTAAAAGGACTATGTCACATCTTTATGAGAACTATATTTTTCACACAAATCTTTGATACTATCAGCACTAATAATGCACACAAACTCTAAAGATTGCCTATAGTTGCAAGTCTTAATAAGAATCTCAACTATTGTACTGCTAAATTGCTCAATAGGGGAAATGTACTGAGTTGGGCTCGTTTCTATTGAACGAATGGTGAAATATAGGTACACAAATGCCCTGTGTTATGTAACTTGGGTTACATAAATTCACCCAGACATAATTTGTAAATTATGACCACAACTGCGGATAGGACAACCTACTCGCCTACACGTAACTTGCAATTTTTAACTACTAATCTTGGAACGCTAAATGTAAGTTTGTTCTTACGGTTTTTTTTTAAATGATTAAGGGGATTATTTTACACCAAAAATGATAGCCTTCTGATATTCGTGGCGAGGACGATGTTGTGGTTGTGGTTAGCTGCAGCTAGTAGTCAGACACTGTTGTCACTTACCTGCGTGACTCGTACGGTAGTTGCTGGGCGATGGGACGTACTCGCTTCTTAATGACTGGCATGTGCTTCGTGTCAACAAACACGTCCGTCTCCTACAGACATGTGACAAAAACACAAGACCATACATCTCCAGTAGTTTTCCAGAACTTATGTTTATTTTTAAGATAATAAATTTAGAATGCTTATTTATTTACGAACCGTACCATCTAAGGCACATGCAACAATTGTATCTCCTATCCAACTATGATTATTAAACAAACTTTCATATATAT